CTGTGCTATTGAGCTAAACTGTCGTTTTTACCCAAGTGAAGTGATAGATATTTTCTCAGAAGCCACATCCTATTTAAAACGCGATTGCGTCAAAAACTCAACTTTCAGAATAGATGATGATAGGAAAGCAATAGTTTGGGCACTTTTCAGGATTTTGTACAACAAGGATGTGGGTGAGTGTTGGTGGGGAATGGATGTAACTATGACAGCAGTATCAACAGTCATTCCTGCACTCGCACCAACACCCACACCCTGTTTTGTTTGGATTAAATTTTTCTTTTCCATAAAAAAAGACAACTCTGCCGAACTATTTACAATTTAATAACTCATATATAAAAGTATGAAAACGAGAGAGTTTTAAAAATACAAAAAAAAATAATCATTTGTTTGATATTATCCAATAGTTTCATTTTTGTCATAGTGGATGGAAAAACTCTATCTATCATTTAAATATATGTTTCTTATTAAATTTGAGATTTTTTATACATTCGATTGGTTAAATTATCGTTTCTCTAAATTTATTCGAAATACTTTATTACATGTCAATATTCAGTATATTCGATATATGGTATTGGATTGATTTTCTATAAAAATATTGTTATATCTACATATAAAAGAGCAAATCATATTGATCGAGTAAAGATAAAAAGAAGTCCAAAAGAAAAATGCAAATATATTGAAATCGGTGTTTATTAATTCTAATCAGTCATTTATGTATGTTATGATAATAATAACAAGTGTTTTGGAAATGTCGAATTTTATAGTGTTATGCTATGTTACCAGTATTATTCATTAGAAACTGTTTTTTGCTATTTTGTGACATTTCTACATTTGAATGTTTATTATTATCAAAGTATTTGAATGAACTTTTACATTAAAAGATATTTAATACATATGAGAACAATTCAACACATGATATAGCTTTCACAAATCTTATCCTTTCTTTTTTCTTTCTCTTCCATGTTGTCTTGTTGCTCTTGTAGAATCATTTGCTTCTGTTTGCTTTTATTCTTC